CAGAAGGAAGATGCTGAAGTAAGGAGAAAATGGGGTATAAATTTTAAGATTTTTTTGACCTAAAAGAAAGATTCTGGATACACAGATTTTATTCATACACTGTTGACTGGGTTTTTGCTGTTGAGTTTCATCTATACTCCTGTATGATTCAGGAAGGGTTGAAGGTCTTATGGGGTGTGGAATACACACCTGTAATGCTAGTACTCTGGGATAGTCAATCTGAGCTACTTAGCAAGACCCTGTGTCTCGAGGAAAAAAAGATCTCATTTTTTTTGTTTGTTTCATTCTCAAGTCTTATTCACAGATTAAACCTACTTAAAATTACCTTATTACATACAAATTCTTCTGTAATTAACTTGAACACTTACAATACCTCCAAATCACTCAGTTAAAAAAAAAGTCTTTCTGACCTACAGGAAAATCTTGTTTCTTCTACAAACATAATGTATCTTGCAAACTGCATTGTCACCAATAAGTGCATGAGCCACAAATCATAAGATACTACAAACAAGCAACACAAAGGCCTATTTGACTGCACAGGTCCTAACCAAACATACTAGGGCTACTTAAAACAGTCACTTAAACCTTATAGTAGGACCTGACGATTCCAGATAACACTAAATATTTGGGATTCCTGTTCTTCTATTCAGTTAACAATATCCAAGACAGAGAGAAAACTCAAATGGCAGAACAGAGATCTGATCTTTTGAGACGTTAATGCCTTTTAATCTTGACTGTCAGTAACATAAGCCAAGAAAATAAGTGCAAGGGTAGTTCAGTTTCTCCTGTTAACTCTAATTCATTCTTTCACAGCTCCCTCTTTGAGCACACCACTGCAGTTTCCAACATTTTTTCCTCTGTACTTGAAAATTCCTAGTTCTAAAGCCTGACTCTAATGGCCAACACATTTCTCAACCACTCCCTCTAAACAGTGGGACTTCCCAGAGCCTGTCCAATTATTCACTTCCTTTACCCAGCAGAGTTCATTGTTTTAGCTTGGTGTTTCTATATTCCCAAAAGTGTTCCTACCATACCACCAAGAGCAATGTTTTTTCAAATTGCCAGTTGCTACCATGGGTTTGTTAAATCTAAGTAGTGGGTCTTCACATTTCTCCTTGAAAATGAAATGGAATATAATTGAATAGAAAGTATTAAACTGTATCATATAAAGTAAATTATTTTGTGTCATTTTATCATTTGAATATGAGAATACTAGGTCACAGCATAAAAATGTATGCTGCCAATGGGTATATTCTGTTTTAAAAATTGTCTGGCTTTAAAAAAAAAAAAAAAAAAAGCAAAGCAGTCTCTTTCTATAGCCCAGGCTGGTCTCAAACTCCAGATCCTCCTCCTGCCTCAGTTTTCCAAGGACTAGATGTGTAGGGCATGCCACACCAGGCTGGGTCATCTCTCTTGAGTTTTAAAGACTGGTCTACAGCATAACACCATCTTTCATTGGCCTACAACACTCTAACCTGATGCTGGAGACTTACTCTTCTATATCCTAAGGAGTTCATGCAATCCAGGCTTTTATGCAGGGTTCTGCCAATCACTATTCTACCTAAATGCTGTCCAATTGGTCTACAAGGCCTACCTGTACTCACCTTTTAGCATTTACTATTAGCTGCTTCAAAGTCTTGTTCTCCTTCCTATAGCAGCAAATGTCCCCTCGTACAAACACACTACGTGCCTCTACAAATGCCCCCTTTACTGCTCTTTCATTATATCCCATCTACTTTAACAGGATTCCCCAGTTCTAACCTAAGAACTCCTTTAGGGAGAAGTACATTTCATTGGCTGTTCAACAACACTCAGCTAAGTACATGCCACATAATTGGTGTTGAATGTAAAATTAACAAAGAATTCACTCAGGACTTAAATTGTTAGGAACAGTAAGATGACTGCCTTTACAAAGTGCACTCCTATTGTGCGGGTGGATCAACATTTCCACATTTTTGCTGCCACCCCTAGAGCCTTAAGTAAAAATGGACTCAGTTTCTCATCTGTCAGCAAAGAAGCAACTCAAGGTAACAATGTAGCAGCAGCAACTTCCATTCTTCAAGAGTTTAAGTCAAAAAGAAAAAGCTCAAAGTTTGCAAAGTCTGGTAGACATCACAAAAATCTCATCATCCATTAGTAGGGAAGCCCCCACTTTGTACATAAGTATAACTTAATTTACCAAACTAAGTAAAAACAAAAGGTAGCTCAAAATAACTGGCTGAAGTGACTTGATATGGTTGCCTTACAAGTGTTCTGGAAGCGCTCCAGACTCACTAAGTACATTATGATATGATCCTGAGTGCGCACAACCTAACAGGTATTCCTCACTGAGAGGATCATGGGTTTCATCTTACATGTACAATTGTTGTTTATTTGTAAGGTGTCTGATACACCTATTTTTACACAGCCACACTTGAGCTGACCTCACCCTAATTAAAAACAGTGCATGCAACTTTGACAGACTCTGCCAACTGCTGGTTTCAGCTGTTCCTTTCCTTTTCCATAGTTCATAAACTAGTATTACAGGAATCATTTTTCCTGCCTAATCATTTATTTTAGTTTAAGAAAATAATTCATTTACCTCTTAACTACACCTACAATTAAAGCTAATGTAAATCCATCTGTAGTATATAAACTTTATCCATGTGAAATCTTGGATATTCGTCCAAGTACGGTAATTTGGGACTGCCTGGGAAAACTTTAAAGGTCATATACTATTAACATGTTTCAAAGAGGCCCAGATGGCTATGCTTACACTTACAAAGGGCAGAAACTTCTGCAAATGCCTTTGCTGTATGACATTCTCTTCTATTTCCACCAACTCTTCATCTTTCAACAACATAGAAAAACTAAGTCACCCCAACAAGAAAGAGTCACATAAATAACAGTAAGTGCTCTTAATTACTGAGCCATCTCTCCAGCTCTTTTTTCCAGATCTCTCAATACTCAGCTACCATCGCATTGGCCATGAAGTTTTGGCACCTGAATTTTAAAGGGGTAAATTCAAATCATAGTACTCACCAGTCTCCACTCTATTACAGCCTTATTTTATATGTCATTTTAAAACTTTTATTTATTTTTCAATTTTTAATTTCTGTGCATTATCAGTGTTTTGCCTGCATATATGTATGTGCACCACTTGCAATCCTGGCGCCTGTGGTGGTCAGAAAAGGGTATCAGATCCCTGGGAACTGGAGTTACAGAGGGTTGTGAACCACCATGTGGGTGCTGGGAATTGAAACTAGGTCCTCTGAAAGAGCAACAACTGCTCTTCACCCCTGAGCCATCGCTCCAGCCTCTTAAAATATTTTTAGCAAAAAGGCTAGTGAGTTGTTTATAAACAAATTATGCTAAGTGTCTAAATGTGTTTCATGTAAGTAGCTTAGATTCACATTTCAAAGGATAGTCTCCTTTAGTATTAAGTTAATCTCACTCTTCACTTGGTAAAACAGTGGACATTCATGTAATATAAGAGACACAGAAAACTGGTTCTCTTCTATGTTACCACTCCAGTCTGGAGAATGCAATCTTCTCAATAAAAAACTGCCACTTGATTTTGTGTGTAGGTTCGAGTACACGTGACACTCCAACAAGCCTTAAACAATGCATTTTAAACTGTGGAGCTGCATAAAATTACGGGAAGCCATATTTCAAAGGTTTACAATATTAATATTTTTTAGTATTTTCTCATTTAAAAATTGATGCAACTGATTCAAAATATTTTCAAACACCATTATTTCCTAGTGTTTAGAAGAAAAAAGCCAGCTACTGACTATTAAATGAGGGAAGGAGGGAAAAAAAATTCATTTTTACAGGCTGGAAAACTTCTAAATTCCTTATTTTACAGGTAAGAATACAGTTCATAAAGGTTAAATGATTTGCAGGTCACCAAGCTACTAGCAGCACCAGAAATAGAAGGTATTTTAATTACATTTATATCCTTGTCATTTAAGTATTAAACATAATTATCAACTCGTAATTAATTTCTGAGGAAGGACTCCTGTGACACGTGCTCTACATTTTCAAAGTTGTATATGCTAATAAACTTCAAATTTTAACTGCCAGAACAAAAAGAAACTACTCTCGAACTTTAAAGAAAACTGTGTGCTGCTAATAAACCATCACAAAGAATTTCAAAATCCATTATTCCAAACTTTGTCCCTCAACTATATATTTACCGCTGTTAATTCGACCACAGGAAGAATGCAGAGACAGCATCGACCATCCACTGAAGAAATGAACAGATCGCCACTCCCATAACACGGGTTTCCAGCTTAAATAAAGAAGAGCTCCTAACATTAGAATTAAAAGTTTGGGAAATGCACTCTTGGCTGGCTTATGTCGAAGATGTAAATCTGACACTGCTGACACAGCTAAAAGTCTAAGCTTAAAAGAGAAAATCAGAAAAAGTGAACACGTTCCTTCAACCAAAAGCTTTCTCGCTTTAGCAACCACACTGTGGAGACCGCAACAGTGAGAAACTGAGATTCTCGTTTTAATGCCCAATAAACCCAATGCTGTGCAGTTAGCTTCGGATGTTCAAGGATAAAACACAGGGCACAGTGAGGGCGACAACTTACAAGGGATCAGTTTCAAGGACTGTAGTCTAACTAGTCATTACAATCGTCCCTTTGTGCAACTGATTGTTTCTACAAAGTACTGGAAGAATGCAGCCCTTCTCTTTGAACGTTACCGGTCAACCAAACCTAAGACGGCAAGATTTTGGTAACCTATACAGCGGCTTCATCAATTAAGAGGTACAGGGTAGACTTAATGCATTGTCTTCATACATGTCATTAATAAGACTATAACTGAGTTACAAACAACATTACACGTTCTAATTAGGACCTCTGGCGTCGCTCTACAATAATACAAATATAATCTCTATTTTAAAGTAGTACTCGTTTAGCAAGGGGTAGAATTATAAACAGTCACCACCACCGCAAGACTGCACACACACACAAACAGATTTAAAGCTGTGGTAAGCACAAAATCCTTACCCCATTTTGCCCAATGAAAACTTGCTCTGAAGTTTCTGCTCTTATGCTACAGAAATAACTTCCAAGGAATTTTCTCCGTCTGTTATTTTGCAGCTGCTTTTCCACCCCCGAGATCTTTTCCGGAGGTAATTCAACGATGCTGACAATTCAGTTAGTTCTTGTCGGTAAAAGGAATTCACTCGCGCTGATACCAAAGCGTTCAAACATTTGCTTATTTGGAATTTGAAAAGGTTGCGCGGAGAATATAGCACTCAACTATTCCATAAAATCAGTGTACATGTAGGTAAACGCAAAACCCAGCTTCACCGAGTCTTATAAAAAACGAGTTCGCTGGTCATTTCGCTCACGTCCTCTCGACACTCCAGGGAGCCAGGTAACTCGGCCTTCTCTGGGCTAAGGCGGTGGGTTCAAATTTCACCACACCAGGTCCCTAGGGGTGGAGCGTGCAACCCAACGCGACGTGCACTTTAATAAAAATCCTACAGGCAGCAATGCCACTGTCTGCCTTCGCTTACACTTAAAAAAAAAAATTATAAAGAAAAAAATCTCAAGTGCAAACCGCGGCCGCTCGCGATGTGCACAGCACACCACATCGGAATCTGTCCTTTGAATGTTCGTCCTCCTAAGACTCGGAGCGGAGAGGCGGTGGAGAGCAAGCAGAAAAGGCTGGGAAGGATCGATTCGTTCTCTCGAGGAGCATCAGCGGAGCCATTTCCAGGCTGGAGG